CAGTAAAGCTCACTGATGCCAAATGCAGAGCCTGTCTCAACATTTCAAAATAAAAGCCTCTGGGTTTTTGTTTTTTTTGCCTGCGCTTAAAGTTTGAATACATTATTTATTTTCGGCTCACTGTGTTTGCTTTTTGCTTTTATGTTTAAGTTTTTTTTCCTTTTTCTTGATTATATGACTTTTGGTATGTGCTTATATAATTCTTATTTAGGTGATATTTCTCCTTTAAACCCCAAAGTTATTTTAGTTATTTATAATAACAACAATAATAATTAATCTCACTTGCACAACGTGCTTCTTTGTTAAAATCCAAAAATTACAATCAATTAATTTTTTTATTTTTCAAAATCATATCTTCTTCAAACTAAGTTTCTGTTTTATAATATATCACGTTTTACTTTAGAATTTAAACACATTTACTATACGCTTAAGTGGGTTTCATATAATCTAGTTTATTCATTTCATAAATGGTGTTTAATCTATTTTTGCTAATTAACACATTCATCTAATATTATATAGATAACTAAAGCAAATACTTATAATAAAATAAACATATGTTAATAGTAGCAAATAGCAATTATACAAGGAATCCATTATTCTATTAATACAACCATAAAAAATACATTCATAATAAGTAGAGATTATAAAGTGCTTCAGATGGACACATTGAAAGTGAAAAACATACATGTTGCATTTGACATTCACAAATAAAACACATATAAATATGTATTTTTGTTATTGTGGACATCTTTACTTGCCTATAATATACCTTGGTCATGTATGTGAAGAAATATTTTGTAACATATTTTTTAAGATAAATTGAAAAGACTGAAGTAATTGGAAAGTATGTTTTATACAAAGTGCTCTTATTTTGGAGGAAAACTAGCCTACTTCCTGTATTGCCTCAGTAACTGGTTTACTTGCTTCCCCTTTTTCTGCTGACCGAGCAAATCCCCAACAATGCACCAGTCCCGCTCCACACACACATTCTGCACCGGGAATATCATATATATAAATATTGTTCTCAGGTGGTTTGAATAATAATAATGTTAGTATCTGTAACATGCAGTGTAAACCCCTGCTACATGGTATTTATAGAAATAAAGACTCAATAAAATCAAACATTATTATACTTAACCAATAATATGTACATACTTACTGTATGTATATACTTATATATTGCGGTCACCTCAGCCGTCTCGCGTTTGCCTGGTCAAATGAGCAGCTCTTCCTTTTTGAGTGCGCGATTTATCGCCTGGGGGGGCAGAGGCATGACAGGGGGGGGCGCGAGAGACCAGGAGGAAAAATGGATATGAAAAAAAGAAAAGAAAATCATAATTTGGAAAATTATTGATTCGAAAATAATATGATACAGTACAGTACAAGTACGTCTGGGTCTCTGTGTTTCATTCAAGCTCGGCTCTGTGTGTGTGTGTGTGTGTGTGTGTGTGTGTGTGTGTGTGTGTGTGTGTGTGTGTGTGTGTGTGTGTGTGTGTGGAACGAGCCATTTTCATACATGCCAACCTTTCCAAATCCAAAAGAGGTAGGTTTGCGCGCGGCAAATGTGCACGCCCAAATTAGGTAATCAGAAGAAATGGAACCCCAGTAATTACATGTATAAACCATGTATTTAACATATATTGCATCATTTTATGCATTTTTCAGAAAAAGTGGTAGTTTGGTAAACAGTGACATCAACGACATGTTTGGTCTGTAAAATGCCCGAAAAGTAAAAGAATGGGAGATAAATATCCCAAAGTCTCCACATTTTATTATATTTTTAATGTGTTTCTGGTCCTCTTTCAGTTGCATTGTTGGAGAAGCCTGTGACATAAGATTTTCAACAACATAATTACTCTGTAGCTATGTTAGTTTGACAATAAAGAACCTTGAACCTTGACAGTGTAGATCAGGGGTGCCCAACCTTTTTTTAACCGAGAGCTACTTTTAAAGTTGCCAGTCTGCCGAGATCTACCAGTCCAAATAGAGAGGCGTAGCCATTACTGACAGCCTACTACCAGGTAAATACACACTTCTACTTGTATAAAACTGACCTTTGTACGATTAATACTTCATAAAATACTGCAGATCCTTTATCTTACCTCTTTCTAATCTACACACATACAAGTATTTAACTGAAGTTACACAACAGTGTTGTTGATACAGAGTTGGAGTTTATTCACACGTCACATACTACAGTGGGTCATGTTTTCAAGAAACATTGAACAGTGCTGCCACATATGACACAGGAAAAAAAGAAAAGACTGAACCCTTTCTTTGCCATTATATAAAAATAGTGTTGCTACAAAAGTATAAATTAGTTTTACTAATAAGACAACTCAGATCTGAAGCTACACAGGAATCTGCTGCCAAAGTGCAATAAAAAAGACAAAATTAATAGAATCAAACCCTTTTTTTGTTGCATTTTAGTAGAGTATAAAAAGAAATGCCTTTAAAATAGGATGCAAGCAACACTAGTTTCTTAACCTGAATTGATAATAGACTATAATCAATTTAAACGGAACAGATCTTAAAGTTTGCATTCTTATACCATTTTGTACAATAATTATAATGAATAAGTTCAAACAAACTAAAACTTACAGCTGATTAATAACGGTATCTAACTTGAGTTTTTATTATATCAAAAACCTGTTGAAATGCTACTGTTATTTGTACTGTCCCCAAAAAGCGCGTCGGCAGCCTCCAGGAATGCTTCTTTCACAACTTCGCCGTCTTTGAAAGACTTCATGTGTTTCGCAAGAACGTGACTGACACGATAAGATGCTATGGTAGCAGCCTTGCTCTTGTTGTTGGGCCTGGTGAAAATGGACTGCTGTGCATTTAGCTGTCCTTTCAGGTCCCTCACCTTTTGGGAGCGTAGGACAGAATTAGGAGGGAATTCCGTCTCGTAGCGTTTGTGCACTGTTTTGAAATGCCGCTCCTAAATTACCCTTCTTCGATAAAGCCACGCTCGTATTGCAGATGAGAGACAGATGGACTTTGAATTGGAATAGATACAAAAATAATCATCCTCCCACTCGGAGTGAAAATTATATATTTGGGGCTCTTTTGCTTCTGCTATAATTGTGGTCTTGTGTGTGCGGACTGCACAGCAAACTACTAGTGCCCACTGACTACCAGCCACGCCCCGATACATGGGGTCACGCCAATCACAAAGCTTTGATGCGTTCAAGTGCATTATTCTGGCACAGGAAGATTATGTTATAGGACATTAACGGTACGCCTACACAGCAGCGTTAAAAAAATCTTGGAGGTGGGCGTATCTGAAGCTTGAGGATTTTTTGCGAGCAACCAATCACATGAATCTCCCGCCCGCGACATACGAAGCAAAAAAGCCCGAAGTAAACTGGATATAAACTCCCCAAAACAGGCGAAAACCTACCACTGTCTCTGCCACCTCCCTCCATGCCTGGCTCCTCCGGTTTATATCCCGGTAGGACTGGTCATAAAGCACCGGGTGATTGATTTGCTACCGCTAATTTCTCCTCCATTTTTTGGAATCTCTTCCAGCATACACGCCGTTTGATTGGCTAGAGCTTGAACTGTTTGGGAAGATTGAAAATCGGTAGGGAGAGTCAGCTAAGTCGGTAGGCGGTAGAAACATGTCAAAAGCGGTAGACTACCGCCCAAATCGGTAGGGTTGGCAGGTATGCATTTTGTGTGCAAGCGAGAGAGAGAGAGAGAGAGAGCACCGGTACCGGAGATCGTTGTTGTTAGCTTCTGGTGCTAGCGAGCTACGCTAACGGATATAGATAGATAGATAGATAGATAGATCGTACTTTATTGATCCCAAATTGGGAAATTGTTTTTGTTACAGCAGCATAAAAGGCATTTTACAATAAAACAAAATATACAAGAATAGAAATAAAATAAAATAAAATATAAAATAAAATATAAAATATACATGTCAAAATAGAAAATAGAAAATATACATACAGATATTATATATATATATATATATATATACAAATATATATATATTCAAAATATATGGAATTATGGAGTATTAAATATGAAACAGATTATGTGTGAGTAAAATGTACAAGGTGGTTTTATTTCTAGAGAAACTATGGAGCAGAGAGTTCTCTTCCAGCCAGAGGTGATTTGTTGTACAGTGTTATTGCAGTGGGCAGGAATGTTTTCCAGTATCTGTCCTTGTGACAGGGGAGCTGCAGCAGTCTGTTGGAGAAGGAGCTCCGTTGACTGTCCAGCTGCAGGTGGAGAGGATGGGTGGGGTTATCCATGATGGACAACAGCCTGTTCAGTGTCCTCCTCTCCACCACAGCTTCAAAGGGTTCCAGCTTGATGCCGATGACTGACCCAGCTTTCCTGATCAGTTTATTGATCCTGCAGGTGTCACCGGCTCTGATGCTGCCCCCCCAGCAGACCGCAGCAAAGAAGAGTGCACTAGCCACAACAGACTGATAGAAGATCTCCAGCATCTTACTGCATACGTTGAAGGATCTCAGCTTCCTCAGAAAATAGAGTCTGCTCATCCCCTTCTTGTACACAGCGTCAGTGTTGATCCTCCAGTTCAGCCCATTGTCTAAGTGCACTCCCAGGTACTTGTAGACCTCCACAACTGCCACATCCTCTCCCAGAATGCACAGGGGCAGAGGAGGAGATGTCCTCTTCCTCCTGAAATCAATGACCATCTCTCTGGTCTTGGCCACATTCAAAAGGAGCTTTTTCAACAACAAGCTGGAGGAGAGTCCTCTCCTGTCAGACTGAGAGGCTCAGTGAACTAAAGGACTCTCTCAGTGTTTAGATAGTTAACTTTAGTCTAAGTTATCTCAGTGGGTCTCAAACGTTTTGGTCACGATTAATGTAAACAAATATTTCCGAGGCACACGTTTCTATGATCATTATAGTTATAAAAAAATAAGAGAATAAATGAAAAACAGGTATGAAATACTATATGACAGTAAAACAAGAATACAGTTTAAAAGGGGAGTGATTTGTAAAATATCCATAAAGAAAAAGTAAATCTGTTTACAGTTCAGTTTCATATGGGTGTTGAGAGATGTATCCATAGATCTATGTGAGGTCCACTCCCCACCTATAAAAATACCACTTTACCCCTGCTTACACCTATATGCCGTGAGCTGATTATCGAGCCTTCATTGTAACTGTCGCGGGTACACTGTGTATATGCGTGTGGGGAGTGTTGCAGTAGAAAATTCAACTGTAGCGCCCGGTACATTAATGGGAAACCCTAAATGTTTGAGCACCCTCTATGAAACGTCAAGCTACCCCACAGCACCCCCAAAATAAATCTCTGGCGCCGCCACTGAGCCTGCAACCCCGTTGTGAAGAAATGTGCAGTGCAAAACAGGCTCATTGCAGCCACTAATGATAAGACACACTTTTTGGCCAAATATCAGCATATTATAACGTATTGTTCTAGCAAAGGGATTGCACAGTTGTATTATGTATTTATGTTTTTGAGCACACAGACTTATGGAGCATTGATTTATTATCACTGTTCTAGCAAAGTGATTTTTTTATTTTTTTGAAAGGAATGCTCACGTTCATATTGATGTATTTTAATAAATGTTAACTTGGCCCATTACGTGACTATTTGTGTTGGGGGGGCCCGACTTTTTTTTTTCTCCAAAAGGGGGGGCCTGACAGAAAAAGTTTGAGAACCACTATGTAGCGCTATGTACAAGAGTAAAATAATGCATGTTTTTGTGCTATATTTCTGATAAAAATATGTTTTACCATAAGTTCTTAATAAAACTGACACTGTTGGACTCAGTAGTAGTTTGACTGCCACCAACAATAAAATGCCACCAACAATAAAATGAAGTACTGTGTACTTTTTCAGTTATTCTCTGTCAACTCCCCTCCTGAGAACAAAATCAAGCCATTTCTGCTATATTTGATGAGAGATACAATTATTTTCAGCCTTAAGTTCTTAATATAATTGGTACTGTTGGACTCAGTACTTGTTGGACTACTACCACAAATACAATGAAGTACTTTTACTGTGTACTTTTTGAATAATACTCTGTCAAACTCCCCTCCCGAGGACAATAATAAATGTATTATGCTATATTTGATGAGAGATACAATGATGTTTTGCCATAATTTCTTAATGAAATGAGTACTGTTTGACTCAGTACTAGTTAGACTACTACCACAAGTAGTACTATGAAATACTTTTACCGTTTAACTTTTAAGTGATACTCTGTCAAACTCCCGTTATGAGTACAATAATGCATGTTTTCTGCTATATTTAATAAGCGTTTGAAAAATATTCTTCACAATACTGATAATGTTGGACAGATTATTTTAAGAGGATATGGTAGACACATGACATCAACACTAGATCCACTAGATCAGTACTCCAGCAGCAGCATTTTACCTCTTGGAAAGTCTTTAGAGTAATTGTAAGTCGCTTTGGATAAAAGCGTCAGCTAAATTAAATGTAATGTAATGTAAATGTAATGTATTTGTGGTAGTAGTCCAACAAGTACTGAGTCCAACATACCAATTCTATTAAGAACTTATGGGTAAAAATCATTTTATCTCTCATCAAAGATAGCAGAAAACATGCATTATTGTACTCAGGAGGGGAGTTTGACAAAGGATTACTCAAAAAGTACACAGTAAAAATACTTGATTGTACTTGTGCTAGTAATCCAAGTAGTACTGAGTCAAACAGTTCCAATTTTATTAAGAACCTATGGCAAAAAATCATTGTATCTCTCATCAAAAATAGCAGAAAACATGCATTATTGTGGGAGTTTGACAGAGTATTACTCAAAAAGTACACAGTAAAGTACTTCATTGTATTTGTGGTAGTAGTCTAACAAGTACTGAGTCCAACAGTACCAATTTTATTAAGAACTTATGGCTAAAAATCATTTTATCTCTCATCAAATATAGCAGAAGTGGCATGATTTTGTTCTCTACTTTGAGAGAGTATTACACAAAAAGTACACAGAAAAAGTACTTCATTTTATTGTTGGTAGCAGTCAAACTAGGACTGAGTCAAACAGTGCCAGTTTTATTAAGAATTTATGGTACAAATTATTTTTATCGCAAATAAAGCAGAACAAACATGCATTATTTAACTCTTGTACTAGCGTCAGTGCCGCTTCTCAGCAATTACCGTAAAGGCGCAATTAATCGCGCACTCAAAAATGAAGAGCTGTAATTTGACCAAGCAAACGCGAGAGATGGCTGAGTTGACCGCAGTTGTATTATACCCTGGGTGTAATTTTTCTTTTGTGTGTTATCCTATAACTCTAATTCTTATTTTATATCATGCTCTTCTGTTGGAAAAAAAAACTGTAACTGAAGAAAGCAAAATTCCATGACTTGTCGCTATCAGGGCTGTTAGGGAAAACATCAGGCAATAAATATTGTGAGATTATTACGTTTCTAAGAGAAATTGATAAATCTAAAATAATCTAGAGTTTTGGTTCTTTATTTTTATTTTTTTTGTTCTTTTTTCTTTTGTTTGTTTGTTTGTTTGTTTGGTTGTTTTTTGTTTGGTTTTGTTTTATTTCTTTTGTTTATTGTTTTCTGCATAGTCTCTTGTCCACACTCCAGTCCAGTTGGTGGCGGTAATGCACCTACAAGTTGGTTTGCCAACCGCCAATAAACATCAAAGAAAGAAAACTGTATCCGGTTTCGTTTGTTGTTGTGCTGTTCTGTTTCCGGTGTGGATGCAGCCGCGGCAGCTGTTTATGGTTCATCCAAAATGACCAAACTGCAGCTACTGAACGCCTACCTGACGGAGCGGCTGACGGTGGTGGTGAAGGAGATCCTGGACGTGGTGGAGGACACGGTCACCGAGTACCGGGAGGAGACCGCCAGGACCAAGCAGGAGAACGAGAGCCTCCGGAGGCAGCTGCGGGACATCCTGCTGCTGGAGGCCGAGACAGAGTGGCTGAGTAAGGGCCGAGCTAGTCCGCTAGCTTTACAGGAGAGCTGTGATGGAGCGTTCCAAACCGCTCTGAAAAATATGTGCATTTTAATATTAAAATCTACACGTTAACATGTTACCATGCAGTTAAAGTGCCATATTTAAATCGGCACATATACAATGAACCAACTAGGCTAAATGGTATGACAAATATTACTTTTTGTAGCAGCCAGTTGCCGTTACTTTCTGTTTTCACATTAGTAACAGTTTTGGTTCCGAAAATAGAGGTAAATACTGAAATGAAGAAGCACTGCTTTTTGGATTATCAATTTACAATAAACCGGATTAACGTTTGAAATATATTTTTCAGAATGTGTACAACCCTTTGCTTATAGTGCTCTATGTTGAACGTAAAACAACATCACCTTTAATTGCCAGATGATAGCATAGAGTCTGGCGTGGTGTTCTCCACGCAGGAGGTATTTAGCTCTGGTGCTAGTGCCTTACTAAGTTGCTTAATAAACATTCAGAGTCCCAGCTGACTGCCTGTTATTCTTGTTTTATTAAAGGGGAATTCCTTACACATTTACCTATCTACAGTCAGAGGACCGATAGTTAATACTCTCTCAAAGGGTTTCATTTAGGGACAGTCAACAAATGATTTGTTTTAATGACAGAAAACAAATGTTATATTAACTTCCCCATATGATTGAAAACTAGGCTTAAACAACTATAATAACTGTGTCTTGTGTGGCACAAATATTTTATTACTGATGTGTCATGAATTTATCTAAAATATTTGAATAGCAGATTATTAGTATTTTTAATAGCTTCCATGTCATGTGACCTGGGGCCTCATTTATAAACGGTGCGTACGTTCAAAAGATGGCGTACGCCAGTTTCTACGCAATGTTTGCGATTTATAAAAAACAAACTTGACGGGAAAATGTGCGGTCCTCCACGCAAACTCTGACCCATGCATACGCACTACGCACAAAAACAGGAGAGACGAGAAACTGCCACACCGTTGGCAGAAGGAAGAATGGAGAGAAATATGTGGAAATAATACCATAAATAAAATGTTACCTCTCATGTATCATATATAAAGCATTCATTTTCACAAATTGATTAAAGCCAATCTTAAAATGATTAAACAAACGCCTGTTTGAGACTCCTCAGTGCACACAAAAACATAACTTGGAGAAATAAATAAATACGGAAATGTTATTGATCACCCCTTGATTATGTTCTCTTGTTAAGAAATGTATTCTCATAAATGATGCGGTAAGCAGGAGGACAGAATTACTTTAAACTGACGCCGTTTTGCATTTCTATAGGTTGTAGATACGAGCATGGTTTTATATACTATCATGTTTAATCATGTTTAATGCCGTTCGCCAAGACTTGATAAGTCGCTCGTAAAACACAGGAGGTATGGAAACTAAGAACACCATATGTGGTAAATCGTACAGCTAATATAACACAACACATACGTTTTATTTCCTTGAACTGGTGGATATAGAGTTGCTACGGGGGGGGGGCGGGTTGAGATGCACAGGCTGCAGTGGAGACGCTGCGCACAGCTGATCGACAGCTGATTGACAGCTGGAACACAAACCACCAAATACAAACAAATAATTCAGATCCAGTCGTCATGACTCCACTCCGGAGGGATTCCCCGATCATTTCTTACAGTGTCTCATCAAGGGGGTGTCTCCTGTCCCCGGTACAAACACACTGACACACTGCCAAAGGAAGGGTTAGGCTATGTGTATTTTTTTTGTCATTAACTTTTTTCGGACCACTTATTTATTTATTTAGGTGACGATCCGACCTCCATGCTGCTACTCTGGTTCAAACTGCATCCACCAAACAATATGATTTATCTCGACCTCCCCACAATAACCAAAATCTGACACGGTGTGAGATGTCTTTTTTAGCTGTTCTGCCGTCATTTCCTGCGATCTTCTTCATGCAGTCAGTCAAAATGAATGAATGAATGGGCGTTTCTTTGACTATTTATAGGCAAATATGGGCGTTACGTGAAGCCTGCAAAAGCTGCGCCGCATTACGAGTTGATTGTGATTTATAAAGGGAAACCGGCGTACGCAGTGTTTTATAAATCGGAAAATGTCAGTGCGTATTTATTTGGTTTGTCCTACGTAAGCAACCTTCCCACGTGAATCCTACGCAAGGCTTTATAAATGAGGCCCCAGGCGACTTAAAATCAATGCAGTGTTGTATTACTACTCTGGACAAGTAGGACACACCTCTTTTATTAGATTTGCTTTTATTTATATGCATATTTGTATGATTATTCATAATTTGAACAGCACACGAAATGAGTGCCTAGTGTGAGATGACTAGTTAAAGTAGGAGAGAGAGGGACTTAGTGGTTTAACCTTACAAGGTTGTTATCACTACCATACATTCCCTTACATTTGTGGTGCAAATGTAAGCATTTCTTTATTATCTTCAATCTTTGTTTCTGTGGTTCCAGGGTCCACCGGGTCCAGTCTTGGGTTAGAGTCTCCGGAGCAGAGAAGCTGTGATCCAGAGCCGCGGCCCCGCTCCAAGGAGCCCGACTCCCCCCTGAACCAGCAGGGTGTTTCTGTGCAGAGGGAGACGTGCCCCCTGCAAAATTGGAAACCTGCTGATGCCTTGGAGCCCACACTGAAGCCGGACCCTCAGACAAAGGATGCCTCACCCCTTCCAAGTCACTCTTCCTCGGCCCCTAACATCCAAATTGAAGTCCCTCTGCTGAGAGAGGAGCCCCAGGCCCTGCCTCTGATTAAAAGTGAGCCTGAGGACCACACAGTGAGTGAACCTGAGTCTGTGCAGGAGCAGGCAGCTGTCAGGAGCAGGACGGTGTTGGTGCGTGTGGACAGAGAGGAGGCTCACAGAAGCAGGAAGTGCTCTCCGGAGAGACTCGCAGGAGATGAAGGTGCAGCTGCGGGTTACATCCCTGAGCTCGTCCACCGCTGCCCCCGCTGCGGCGAGGCGTTTGGCCATGCCGGCAGCCTGCGACTGCACCTGGAGCAGAAGAGGAAGACCTACGCCTGCGACTGGTGCTGCAAGTCCTTCGCTCAGTCGGCCGACCTGCGGCGCCACCTGCGCACGCACACGGGGGAGCGGCCGCACCGCTGCACCTTCTGTTCCAAGAGCTTCAGCCAGAGGGGGAACCTGCGGCGCCACCTGCGCATCCACACGGGGGAGCGGCCGTACAGCTGCCCCTACTGCTGCCGCACCTTCAGCGACGGAGACACCATGAAGAAGCACAAGCGCACGCACTCAGGGCAGAAACCGTACAGCTGCGAGCAATGCGCCAAATCCTTTACCAGCGCCAGTGGGCTGCATATACACTTAAAGAAGGACATGTGCGCTGCGCAGCTAACACCTGATGGGCAGCTACAGCAAAGACATGCACATATTGTGCTGCAGGAATGAGTCCTTAATCCCTGAATTTAGTGAGCATTCTAGGACTTCCTGTTCTCATTTTTTTCTAAAAAGATTAATTTACATGTTCACCTTGCCGTGGTGCATAATGCTGCATACATAAACACAGTTAGATGAATTCACGTGGAAGGCCTTAAAAACAGCCGTTGCTAACAAATTGCTAAATGGGACGACTAAACGTCATCACGCCGAACATTAGCAGCCTTTAGCTTAGCGGCGGTGACTTGAAGTCATGTGACCGTGCTGTAGTTCCTTTGTAGCCTAACATTAGCTTTCTACTTCTGGAGATTGCATTTACGCTTTTAAAATCGTAAACATGTCAATACGTGGATATTATCCTGCTTAACAAAATGTGTAAGTATCAATAACATTTGTTGGTCACAGATTGAATTTTTTGCATTGTCTTTTTGTGAAGGGAACCAGGCAGATGCTAACTTCAGCGTCAGACTACAAAAATACATGAATCCTGCACTTCTCTATATATATTTATTCTAAGTAAAGGACGTAAGCATTACAAGCCAGTCGGATATATAAAATGGTGGATCTCTAAATATATATATTTATGTATTATTTGATGTATAACATATTTTATATTGATAATTAAAATCTGCCAAGTAACTAACTCATCAATAACAACTACAACATTTAAAAATAAAATAATGAATAGAAGAATAAAACTGACCCTCACATTTTGCATCAAAAAGAAAATAACAATCAAAGAATTGCCAATTAATTATTTTTTACGTCGTTATTTAAATGATAAAATAGCAAAGGAAGAACATATTTGAGTGAAGTACTCGTACCTGTAAATTGAATATATAGCCTCTACATATCCATCCTGCTGGCTTGTGATGCACCGGATGATGAAATTAATTTGACATTCCTGTCTTTACTTTTTCTCTGATTCCTCCTGCTGAGGGTCTTCAATGCACTTTGTTTGGTTTTACTCTGAAAGAGACAGGAAGTAGTCTATAGGCAGCTACACAGTCGCTGCATTAATATGTATTTATTTATTTTTATTTCTTAAGTTGGGACCCTCCAGTGTAACACCACACCGGTTGCTTCACAACTAAAACATTGAATATAAAAATATTATTTATTTCCTTTATTTTTTATCAATGTATAAACTATGTCTGATCTCACGCCACAATATTTATTTTTTGGAGATTGTGATTGGAAATGCAGATATGATGTTAGATAGTAGATTTGTGGTATTTCACAGAAAAAACAGAAAACCTGTGTTAGCAGATACGGTTATGTGTGTAGATATTTACTGTGGGATTATTAGTATTTTGTATTGCGGTAAAAATTATGTTTTTTTAGAAAAATAAATGTTCAGTCAAACTGTTCTCGAAAAAGTTGATTTCTAATAAAGTTTTACATTTAGAGTCGTGCACACTGATCACTTTACCTTATTGACTTTTGATACTCTCACTCACTTAAGGTTCAGTACTGATCATTTGTATTTAATCCATCAACAATTGTTCCTCCTGTCTATTATTTTGTTCTATAGCACACGTTTTTTTTATGTCTTGTTTTTTTTCTTCCAAAAATTAAACCAAACGTTCTACATTTTCAAGTTTCAGAAAGAAAAATAAATTATTAATATTGCAGATTTAAAATACAAAAACTAAATAAGGACTGCTTCAAGGAGAAAATAAAGTTGAATTAATTAAAGTCTCGAATTGTTTTAAAAAATAAATTCTTACTTGGAAACTGCTTTTGCTGTGAGAAATGTATTTCCTGTCTAGCACATATTATTACAATACATTTCCCCCCAAAAAATATAAAATGTTGTAATAAAAGACCAAAATACTCTTACTTTTTCTATTTAAACAGTATCGACAAATGGCACAGACATAAAGCAGAAATTAAAGTTCATATGAAAAGCTGTATTTTGTTCTGTCATTATTAATTGAAACATATATGCTTTTTGCCACAAGTTTGAACGAAATAGCTGCTTTTGTTGGACCTTTCCAATGCTTGCTAAGTGTTTTGGTGCAGCTGCAGTGCTCCTCTCCGGCTGCAGGGGGCAGCAGTGACACACTAGACTGGCATTCCAAATGTATTTTATTGATCGTACATAAAACACCTGATAGAAATGTAAGAACAACTGTAAAGCACAAGATCATTGTAAACAACAGTTCTACGATATGTATATTCATATAGATATCGTATAGAAAGCCACACTCGTACATTCATACAGTCGTGCATAAAAGAAGAAGAACACTGTAAACAGAAGAATCCCAACATGTACCTGAATGCCTCATCATGTCTCAACAATTAGAAAACAGGCAGCATGAGTATAGAGATATAAATATCAACATATATCATCATGCAACACCAAGGAAGAACCACTTTATTCATAAATCATCAGCATCATGGCAACAAAAGGATGCACAACGTCTGTTTTCACTCTTTAGAGGAGGAATATGAAGGAAACTCAGATTATATATCAGGTTTAGACCCAAATGAGCAACATGACACCTGCACAGGTTTAAATGGATGCTGCAGATGAGAAATATTTTATAATACTGTTTAATATATGTTTACGTTGGCTATGCCCCTGGCTCAAAACAGCTATCATACAATCATGTTTAGCAAAGGTAACTTGGCAAATAAAATAAAAATGTGAATTAATAAAAATTGTTTTACTCATACACTTTTTAACATAACATGCAATAGAACTTAATATTACTTTCCCCATGCAATGTGCATTGGTGTTAAAAAAAAAAGCATATTTACTTATTACTTTTTCAATATCATTTGCATTGGTGAACAAATAACTCTTTTAAATATTTCTCTGACTTTAACGTAAAATGAGCTTTTTACATCATGTGCATTGATGTTAAAATATATTGATGTTTAATGCTTTATAAAACATATCTTACTTGTAATGTTAGTCTATTGGGCCCTGGTGTTAGTATTAGTACTTAAGTAAACATAGTACTACTTAGGTGAGGAAATACACGTTATTAGTAAAATCCTGCATTCACAATCTTACTTAAAGGGGACCTATCATGCAAAATGCACTTTTGTACGTCTTTTATACATGAATATGTGTCCTCGGTGTTCCAGGGAACTCACCAAGTGTCAGAAAACACAACCCTCTCTATTTTCCTCCATACCCAAATCTCTAAAAAAGGGGCTGCAACGGATTTGATAAAAACTGATCCAGATTTGAACACTGTCCTGACGTCAGGACGGTGGCGCTACGGCTATTGGGCCAACTCCACCAATCAGGAGGAGACAGCCACGGCCATTGCCGTTCGAAAGCGCTGGAGACGCTGTAGTACATATGCCAGGCCTCTAGATGGTGCTGTTGCTCACAGAATCAGCCTTTGCAAAAACAGAGCTAAAAAAGTGCAAATTGAGCGAAATGAGGCATGGCTAAAATGCATGATCTGTTTGGTATTTTGAAAAAAAAAAAAGTATAAATATGCCTTATATAGGTATGGTCCTACACTATATTATTCAAATATAGCATGATAGGTCCACTTTAAAAGTACAAATGTATCAGCATCAACATATACTTAGTACTCATTATACAGATCATATATATCTTTCACAGTGTTCAATTTAAAAAAGGAGTCAGTTGGAAAACATTTTCATGGAGCTAGCATTAGCTTGCTTAGCGTGCTAAGGACAGCTGGTATACATGTATTTGTCAGTTGTCATTTGTGGCGGGAAAATTGAAGGTCGCTGGCTGCTATTGTCTACTTCTATCTAAAGTTAAGGAACCATTGTTTGAAATATTAATCAATGTTTTAATGGTAAATCTACCTATGTTATTATTATTGAAAATGAAGTAGGCGGGGCTCGATGAACATTCAATTTCAAGAATTTACTGTGTGTGTGGTACGTTTTTTATATTGTTGAACATTTAAACAAAAACACACACAGGTGAGATTCCCTAACTGTTAGCATCATAAAGACCCTCCATCTTTTCAAACAGGTGTAACTGAAAACTTAAAAAAAAAAAAAAAATATCAGCTTTTCCCAACATCCCGGTCTGCTTCAAAAAGCGCATGAGAACAATGTTTCTATAATTACTTTAACACCTAAACGGTGTACACAGGTCTGCACTGCTATTCTATCATAGGGTGTTAAATAATAACTCTTATTTCATTTATGAGAGTCACCAATTTGGCATAGTTAGCAAGATACTGTAGCTTACAGTAGATTCACTAGCTAGCTTGCTTGTTCAATGGGTAGTTCATGTAGGCTAGCTAACTGGTTAGATAGCTAGCTTGTAAAGTAAATAGCTAACTTTAGCTTGCTTGTTCAGTATTTGCTCACGTTCTCTGACGCTGGATAGATAAATGGATAAATAGATAGATAGATGACTGCTAATGCTCACACGTTAGCTAGTTAGCTGACGTTCACTAGATAGCTGACGTTCGCTAACTAAATAGCACACTGGTTAATTGAATTTGCTCTATAGGTTAACTTGTGCTTGGGTATTTATCCTGGCTTCTAGTAGATGAGCCATCTACACCCAAAGACACCAAAGAGTCCTAAAAAATTTCCTCATATAAGATTTTGGGCCATTTTCATAATGTGACAAAATGACAAATGACAGAGGATGGATGTGGAACTATAAAGCCATTCCTTCACTGCAGTGTAGCTGTAAATAATGCCAAATAAAATGTATTGTTTATAATCCTGCTTGTGATAACCGGAAGAACAATATAATTATTTGAATAGATATTTGGCCATGACATAATATATATCAAATATATCTATTTGAATAGAGAGAAAAATTATATTGGAAGTGGTGGAACGTACCAAAGTACATTTACACAAGTCTTGTAATTAAGTAAAATTTTGAGGTACTTTACCTGAGTATTTGTATGTTTATGCTCCTTTATACTTCTACTCCTCTTCATTTTGGAAGCCATTATTATACCTTTTTCTCCACTACATGTATACTGACAGCTTTAGTTGCTTTACATATTCAGATTATTAGCTAATACAAACATTTAATAAACTAGTAAATAAACATTAAAATATAATTAAGATAAATTATCCAGCAGCAGTATGTAAAGTAATTCAAATTTGCTAAAAGAATGTCAGCTGTGATACAGAACACACATTATTGCATCAACAATTATAATCCAGTAATTTGACATTTATGATTCTGAAATGGGCCATTACACATTAGTACTATTACTTTTTGTACTTTAAGTGTATTTTAAATGCCAATACAGCAGTATACATAGTAAAAAGAATAAAATAAAGCTACTCCTTTTACATCGGGAACCTTTAAAGTTATGAACACTAATGCATCAATAGTTACAATCAACAATATAATGAATGTTGTTCTAAAAAGAAGGTTGTGCTTTAGTCTTTTTTGAAGTCAAGTACTTTTACTTTAGTAAGATTATGAATGTAGGATGTTAACTTTTAACAGAGTATTTTTACAATATAGTATTGCTTCTTTTAACTGGTGGAATAGTACAGAAGTACTGTAGCCTACTTAAGTACACATTCTAAATTGTCTGCTACTTTATACTCCACCACTTGTATTTAATAACTGTTGATCCCAGTTACTTGGCAGATTACTTGCAGAATTAATGACCAGATTTGATAAACTCTGGGTGCTATAGAATGGTGCAGAAACGAGTCCTCAAACCCAGAGAAGACATGTAATTTTACCACTGGTGCCCTTGTCTCGGAGTAAACGGTTATTTTAACGTGTTTGTGGTTATATGCCTGAAATAAGGTCTGTGGTTAAAACAAGAGTTTTTCATGATTTGTTCTACAACATAAAATACATCAGTAATCAGCCTACTCAAGCAGTAATGAGACCGACTTTAGTTTAGCATTAGTGATGCGCTGCATGGCGACCGTGACGTTGTTCGTTAACAGCCTAGCGTTCGCTTTTTACTTCTGCCGATTGCATTTATGCTTTGAAAATCACAAAGTGGTGTTAATGTGGAGATTTTCATGCTAAACAAAACGTGTTAAGTATCATGAATGTGTGTTTGCCCCAGAACTTATTTTCAGCAACATACCAATATCCGATGGGAAAATCCCATTGCTCTATGTCTAGGGAACCCTTTGCAATGCCAACTTTTGGGTCAGCCTACAAAAATACATCATCACTGCATCACTCTATAGCCTGAATGCACCATGAACATAAGGACTATAATAAAAGAAGTGTACTTCTTAAAACGGTTTGGCTCATTTGAAGCTAATGTTGCAGGATTCTTGCTGTTCTAGGTTTGTATCTTCATGTTTGGTTGCATTTATATGAAGTCGCTTTGGAAAAAGCGTCGGCTCAATGAAATGTAATGTAAAGTTCAATCAAAGCTTTTTCTTAAACAAAACATGCATTTGAATTTCTGCAGCTGTGGTTTCTCCGAACGTGTGCGTCAGTGTCTGACCCTGTGATATCTGCTGCTGATGTTCATGGAGCTTCTTCTCATTAATGAAGGCACACCATCACTTCCTCTCATTTCCTGCGGCTTCCCGTGGTGAAGCTGCTGCAGAGCGTCCCCGTCCCCCCCATGTTAGTCGTGGCTGAGGGTGCGGGGCAGCTCGTTGCTCAGGACGTGCCAGCGCTCAACCCTCCGGCCCGGACTCTTCAGGCAGTCGGTCCAGTGACGGAGGCCGTCGCCCTGCGAGTGTCCGCTCAGACACACCCCACCTGCACACAGAGGGAGGAGTGTTGGTGTCAGGAAACACTCGTCTGCAGTTTCACAGGACAGCTGAATTGTTATTACAGCCAGTGGGGGAAGGTTACCAACTTCATTTAATTAATAAAATAAAAAAATATTATTATTTTTAAAGATATTTAAAAAAATATTGTTTTACATTTAAAAATAATCTCTAAATATATAATATATGATATATATTAAATTACCCTGCCAGCTGTAAACTCAATCTTTCCTTCAATTTGTTATTTTCTTTTATAAATGTTTTAATTGATGTAGAAATGTAAATGTAATATCTAGTTATTGTATATAATTTATAGTTTCTAATTACATGATAGCTTTAATCTTTACCTTTATTTTAGAAGTCAACAGTCATTGGTGGTAAATAACTCAATTTATTACTTTAAAAACTTTATAATCTCTTTTGTCTCACTTTTTAAAAGTGAGACAAAACTCTTCTTACTTTTATTACATTTTAAATAATGTATTAAGTTTTTTTATTTCCATTCTTTCTTTAATTTTTTGTTGTCGTTAAAAATGTATAAATATGGCAGGATGAAAAATAAGTGATAAATTGTAATTTAAATAATTGCAATAAAAAATGCCACAAAAATATAATTAAAGATTTCCCTTTTCGAACCAACTTCCATCCAAATCAATAATGCCAAACTTTCATTAGTTTTCTCAAAAAAAATTCATCCAGTTATGCATTTAATAAGTGTTATCAACCTGTTTAGCCCGAGAGCCCCCGGTAGAGGGGGCTGCAGGTTTTTTTTCACAAAACTGTGTCTCAGGCAGTGGCGTTTTCTCCCGGAGGCCAAGGGAAGCCAGGCTTCCCCTGTTTTTTCGGATTGTAGTTATAATTTAAATAAATAAATAAAAACACTTTGTTTTGTTTCGATAATTCTCCTTTGCTGTGTGTTGCTGCCGGCCCGTCTCTCCCCCACTCTCATTGAGTATTTTACAAAGAGTGAAACAAACAGCGGCCCTCTAGATGTTATGGTGAAACAGTAGATTGCATTCACTGTTGCGAGAGGAGGCCAGTCGGATCAGGCTTCCCTTGGTGAAAAAAATTGAGGGATTGACCAATCAGATGAGGCCCACGTGATGCCCCTGCCAACCTGTGATTGGTCAGGGCCATGCCAAGGGAAGCCAGCTGGCTCTGGCTTCCCTTCAGAGGCGGCTGGTGATTTCACCTGAATAGATGAGATTGTTTATATTTTTTAGTTACTTTTGGACTACGGACTGAGCTAATTACAGAGACGAGGACTGTTGCTGCACTTGCCGTGTGTTAGAAAGGGAAGGGAAGAGAAGGTGGACTATCGCATGCAAATGTTTCTGTACATAATTGTTCATTCATACACGCCTACTGATACTTTGATGTGTACATAAAACTTTAAAGGTCTCCTGATTTACTTTGTGAATGAATGCTTCTTTTTTATTCATTACCGAATCTGCACTGCGCATTGAGCGGCTGGTATAAGGTATTGCATTTGGGGGGGGGGTGTGTCTGCATAAATTAATAAGAAAATGCTTAAATTAATAAAACGAGAGTTTCGGCTGGAGAGTGCGTGCGGACCTGTCGGTTAGATAACAGGCGTGTGCAAGTCCTGCATCTGTGTGATACAAATGTGTGTAAAATGATACCGGGCGCTGTAATCACTCATCTGGTTACGTTATTGACCCCCCCCCCCCCAACCAACCCAAACAAATGGGCTTCCCCTACATTTTTCCCCACGCCACGCTACTGGTCTCAGGGCTTCTTAATATTAAAAAACCTATTAATGTGTCATACCAGATTAACGGGAAGAAACTCAGCTAACTGACAATACGAACCATTTATACCAAAACAAAACACAAGTCTCTTAAGAAGCGTCTAAATGACCCCTGAGCGAAAAAATGCTAACGCACTTAGCACGGAACTCAAGGTAAAAATATCCTTATTACTTATCGTAACTGCACATACAAGATATCAGATTAGATATGTGAGATTCCACAGATTATATAGGTATTAGTATTATCACTGAGCGATCAGAACTCGCGACAGGGGAAGCAAACACAGACATCACAACACGTAGCTTTACGGAGCATTCACGGGAGATCGTCTCACGGGAGATCGTCTCACCTTAGGTGTTATTCTGATCAAAAGTCGTGTTCAATGGCATTAAAACGATAAAAACGCGGCTGAAGGTTAATCCATAGGTTAATCCAATGTGTCTGTCACTTTGAAAAAATTATTGATAATCCATAATTCCATTTTTATGTAAAAAACGGAGATTTCATATTAGCTGCTAATGGTAGCCACCAGAGTGTATCGCAGCTTCCGGTTCCGGGGCATTCTGGCTGCGCATCACTCATTCACCAATGGGTAATGTTTAGATGGATTTTAGGAACTTCCCCTCGATTCTATTGGCTCTAACGGTTCAAAAGAGATGTCAAACATCAAAATCGACCGATGGGTTCCAGAGATATGGAAAATGCACTGAAATGACCCCAGAAGTATTTTTTTTTCTTCTAAATCTCTCTAAAAAGGTCAAACTTCACTTGTATTGCATCAATCTTGATACAGGGTACTTATTATATGTTATAGTTTGGATTCCTAAAGCTTTTAGTCTACCATCATTCAAGGGTGGTTTTCACTATAACTAATGTTTTCTTTTTGGACGGACACTATAATTTAATTTTTTTTACTATGTTCAATCTGAATTTACTTTAAAATAAAAACATCTATATTGATTCTGACACTTCTACATCCAACTCACAGGTTTATCATTACTTTGAGAAAAAAGATTATTAATTTACCCCTTTTAGAAGTGAAGATAATGGTCATTTGTTCTGGGAATGTCATTTTCAAGCCTGAGACCTGAAAAACAGGCTCAGGGCTAAACAGGTTAATAATGGATGTCAAAAGTCTAAGTCACACCTTTTCAGTCAATATTCTTTCTGTAGTCTGTCACTTCAAACTTCAGGAGACCAAACACTGACCAAGCAGGTTCAATTCAACCTGAACTGAAACGATCAGCACCTCCAGGGCTCTTTATTCCCATAATTAACAAGAATATTATGATGATAATAACCAGACACTGAGGAGCAGATTGTAACATAGTAAACATTGAAATGCTTCGACTGAACAGCTTTGCTGACACTAACGAGCCACGTGTGAGAGGTTCATGAATATTTACAGATTTGTTTTGTGATCATTTCCTCAGACGTTCAGCACTCTTGCATGAAAACATTTTGTTGTTCTCAAAGAGGCCTCCTGGTTCAGAGGGAGTTTCCCTAGGTTTCTGTGACGGTCGGGGTCTCACCTATGAAGTCGTTGGAGCGTCCCAGGTCATAGTCCCACACCGTCACCTCCAGCGACTTGTTGGAGAGCTCCGACAGCGAGATCTCGTAGAAAAACTCCTGCAGGGAGAGGCAGATTTAAAAACACCATGAGGTCAACCATAAGACAATGTGCGGGGATATTCTACACATCTTTATACACGTTTATTGTTTTCATATATCTTAGAACGACCTGTCTGAGGAGATCAGGGTTACAAAATCTGTCAGCTCTTTTAAGTCGCTTATTAAAAACTCAAATGTGATTTGACTTTTAGTCTTATTTTATTTTTCATTTATTCTTGATCTATGTATTTTTGGTTTATTATTCTCTATGTGTTTTACGTGTATATGTTATATAACGTATTTTTATGTGAAAGCACTTGGTAACTATGTTTTGAAAGGTGCTATATGCATAACGTTTATTATTATTATTATTATTATTATTATTATTATTATTATTATTATTAGTAGTAGTACAATGGCACTTTTTATTTTATTTTATGGGGTAACTGTTAAGAAATAAAATTTCCCCCTGGGGATTAATACAGTAATTTCTGTACAGACTTACTATACTGTACTGTTTTTGTATCAAAGCCCGTTAAATCTCCTTTCTCTGTGCTATGGAGCTCCATTGTTGCCCAAAAACTTTAAAAAAAAATATATATATTATCCGGAATTAAATCTAAACATGAAACTTACAGTATGGAAAATAAAGTTTTTCTTAATACAATACATGTCATCAATCCTGTGTCATAATTAGTTAAATTTTAGGCCGTACATAATGGCAACATTCTGCATTTGACCCATCCTAGTGTTAGGAGCAGTGGCTCCTAACACTAGGATGGGTCAAATGCAGAATGTAAATGTCCCCTCTGTGGGACGATTAAGGGTATATAAATAAATCAAAATAAATAAAAGTAATAACAGTAAATTGTCTGGGAGCAACTCTGTCCTAGACCTGGGCGCCCCCGCCTTCCCTCCCCCTCCCTCGTGAATATTTTCTATCCAGAATTATTGAGAAGATCATATTATAAAAGGCAACATATAAAGTTTATGCTCTTTCATGACCGTTGGCTTTCAGACAAGAGTACCAGCTTAAAATGCCTGATTTCCTAATGGAGTTTGGTGAACAGATGCTAAATCAGCGTGTGGCTCACACTGTTTCACTACATGTTCCTTCATTACCATGAACAGACTGTCATTTATTTTTACCCAATCACACACACCCCATCCTGCCGACAAATGTGGATTAATGCACCGCAGGAAATAGTCCCCAACAAATGTCCTCCTACAAAATACAAAATACACTGAACAGCTGCTTTATTTCACGAGTTTTACAGACCTGTAGATTTAAACCTCTTAAAGGGAACGATGGAGCAGTTAATTTTGTAACCAATCACAGGAGGTTTACGAGTTATGTATTATTTGATTGGTTAAGAAATAATAGGCTTCTTGCACTTATCAGCTAGCTAGTGTACTCCGATATTCATCTGTCTGTTGGGCAGCACTGGTTTATACAGCTCACAGTGATTACATATATTCGAAGGGACATGGACGACTGTAAAGGAAATGTAAAAGTGTTTTCTGAGATTTTTTCTCACAAGTCTTTGTGGGACCAACATCGGAGATAGAGAGGTCTTGTGGTTTTAGAACCATATCATGCAGCGGTGCAGAAGGGAGGGGTCTTACCTCGTTGAATTCAGGGTTGAGGGTTTTTTTCATCACAGCTGTTTTGTGCTTGGATTTCTTCTGTATGTCGGGCTTCAGGTATCTTACAGCAGGAGCAGAGAAGAAGAAAAAGCACATCAGTTTGTTTTATATATTGTGTATTAAAGATCCCCTATTATCCTCTTTTTCAACAATATATTATAGATCTCAGATATATACAAAACATGTCTCTGAAGTGTTTGAAATACCAAACAGCTCATTGTAGCATGCCATATACCCTTCTTTTTCAGCTTTACATTTCTGTATATTTAAATGCTAATGAGCTGCTGCTAGCCACGCCCCTCTGAGAGATGATTTGTAGAAAAAAAAAACACAGTGGTGCTCTTGGAGGAGATTCAGGTGATAAGGTGGGCTGGTGTTTGCACGACCGCAGGATTGTTTAATGAGAAGCTACTCCCCACATCAGCTACGGTTAAATAACTTGTTGCCAGCTGAAACATATTATTCACTGCATATCTCCAATGGAAGGCTCTTACAGTTTGGCTTAGTTAAATCCAGGTCGTGACTTTTTTTTTGGACTGGCAGTGTATTTCTTCTCTAACTTGTAATTATTTTAGATTTTTGTGACTTGTTTTTATTTATCTTTTCCAACTGTATAATTTAATATACGCCATGACTAATGAATTCAAATTGATTCTGCTCACATCAGAGCAGTGACTTGCAGATATTTGACTTTCATGAAAAGCTGAATATTTGCATCATGTTTTGCTGTGGGCCTAATGAGGAAGCCACTAATTAGACACAAACACAGCGCAGTGGAAGTGATGCGGAGTGTTTCATTAAAGCACAGTTCCACTCCTCAGGAAACCCATCGGCTACCTGCGGGATCTTTCTCATCCTGCAGTCTGATGAAATCATGTAACTCATCATTAAGAAAACAGGAATTCATAATAAATCACACTGAGTCAGTTTTAGATCAGCGCACACACACACACACACACACACACACACACACACACACACACACACACACACACACACACACACAACACACACAACACACACACACACACACACACACACACACACACACACACACACACACACCACACACACAACACACACACACACACACACACACACACACACACACACACACACACACACACACACACACACACACACACACACACACACACACACACACACACACACACACACACACACACACACACTACACACACACACACACACACACACACACACACCTCGACGGAGGAACTGACTGCGCATAGAAAATATTTAGTCAAAAGTACCAGTATGTTCTCCTGCATCCGATCCAATTTCCATTATGTGTTTCTGGCTAATGACCCACAATCCTTAGCGGCGGCAGATATATGAGCAAAAATGTCAACGTTTAAGTGGCAATGTCAGTGGTGTGTCCCAATAGTAACACAATGCTTACAATTATTATTTTTTTATGTCAGAGGTGTTCCTCCGTCGGAGGAAATCAAGCTCCGCTGCTGAAAAGTGAAGCCACTTATTGCTAGAAAATGATAACATTTGTGTATATAACAGTGCAAGAAAGAGTGCTGACATCTGGAAATGAGTTAGCATATTAGCATGTTGGCAGCCGAAAGCAAGAGGCAACATTTAAGGACAGGATGTAACCCTGACAAAGTAATTATGTAATATAACAACAACAAAAAATTATAATATAACATTTAGTACTCATAATACGTTATTATTATTATTTTACATTTTGTCTTTCTTTCTTTTTTATACATTTATATATATTGTGATTTCAAACCAACACACTGTGAAAGAAGATGGCATGATTTGAAAAAATAGTATTCAATGATATCATACTCAGTGAGTGTGACCCCCTTATATATACGTATATATGTATAAATGTGCCTCACTTACCAAAAGATCTCTGAAGACGGTAATACTTTTGCTTTAACTGCACGTGGCATTAAGCGCTGATGTGTGAAAAAAGATCAGAATATAAACTCATTTGCAAAATAATCAAGATCACTGAGACCACATTTGCTTAGGAGCAGAGTTGGGAAGTGTATGTTATGCTTTGAGTTGTTTTGACGTTTCCTTTTGTCTTAATTGTCCAGGATCTGCGACCACAGAAGCTCCATGATCCTTTGGTGAATTTGCCCCCTGAGACGGTCTAATACAATTCAGCCTGCGTTCAGCTTTCACCTCAGGCTTAAAAATAAAAACTGCATCATAAGGATCAAATAAAGCCAGACTAATTAGAGCGCATGTGGACACTGACTGGACTTTTTAAAATGCATATTGACCCGTTTTAACGCGACGTGTTGTCTGCACGGAGCCCTGCTGAGACGTTGCTGTGATTTCTAAATGTGGTGAATCTCTGTGATATCCCTCGACCCCTCAGCTGTCAGCGCCCCCGCCTTCTGGCTCACACTCACTCTGTATTCAGACGGCGTGTGACAGAAAAAAAACGGCTCCTCTTCAAAGCCGGTGTCCCCTCAAGGGAACAAAAGCCAGGAGAAGCCTTTAAATCCTCGACTCTGACACACACTGCTAATTTCCCCCCCCACTCATTATCCTTCCTGCTGGGAAACCACAACTGCATCATTGATTAACACAGTTTAAAGATGCCAAAACTCTTTCATTTGTCTCAGGAGTGCTGGGGTCCAGAGGTGGAATATAACAACGTTTATTTAAAGTGATGTCGTTTGCCTTCCCCTTAATCGATAAGAAAGTGTTAGTTTTGGTCAGTGTTGACACAGATTTCTTTAAGCGATCCTTCCTTTTTGAATGCTGTATGACTCATTTGAGTATCTTCTGAGAATCTCTCAGGTAAACAGATTTAAAGAGGACATATTCTGATCATTTCCAGGTTTCATATCAGAATTTAGTGTCTCCACTGTGACATGTCTCCATGCTTTCATGTTCAAAAAAGCTCTTTTCTCATACCGCCTGTGCTGCAGCACCTCTTTTCACCCTCTGTCTGAAACCAGAGCCCAGTCTGCTCTGATTGGCTAGCTCTGTTGTGATTGGTCAACAGCTTAGAGATGTCCCACCCCTTAGCACCAACCATGTGTTGGAGCTCTAGCCAATATAACTGCAAGTGTTACATAGTGATGTCATTATGGTACAGAAGTAAACAAAGGAGTCCAATGGCAGCGGGGGGAGTATTAGGAAAAATATGGCACAAACAAAAAATAATATACACTAAATAGTTCCTACAATAGGTACTTAAGAAGTACACTTTGAATATAATTACTTGAATGAAGGACTGTGTGTTATGCTGGCTACAAAAAGCATGACTTGGACTGTTGTTGGTCTTCATTACATAACTGTTCAGCCTGCTCTGATTTGGTGAGATGTTTGCACAAACTATTAGCCTTTTTGGCAGGTACTCTCTGTTATTCTTCTTCTTGTTGATTTATTAGCGGCATCCTTGTGATTTAATTACTCAACACCGGTGCCCCTCAAGGCTGCGTGCTCAGCCCTCTCCTCTACTCCCTGTTCACTCACGACTGCGTGGCCATACACAGCTCCAACACCATCGTGAAGTTTGCTGATGACACGACCGTCATCGGCCAGATCACCGACGGCGACGAGACGGCGTACAGAGAGGAGGTCGAAAACCTGACATCTTGGTGCCAGGATAACAACCTCCATCTCAACGTCAGCAAAACAAAGGAGCTGATTGTGGATTACAGGAAGCAGCAGAGAAAGGGTCACGCCCCCATCGCCATCAATGGGACTACGGTGGAGAGAGTCAGCAGCTTCAGGTTCCTTGGGGTCCACATCACTGAGGACCTGACATGGACTCTTCACACCAGTGTCATCACCAAAACAGCTCGACAGCGGCTCTTCTTCCTCCGCAGGCTGAGGAGGTTCAACATGGACTCCAGGATACTCTGCACTTCTACAGGTGCACCATAGAGGAGTATCCTCACTGGCAGCATGACGGCCTGGTACGGCAGCTGCACCGCCCTCAATCGTAAGGCTTTACAGAGGGTGGTGAAAACTGCACAGAACATCACCAGGACGGAGCTGCCATCCATGGAGGACCTTTACTCCCAGCGGCTCAGGAAGAAAGCCCTCAGGATTATAAAAGACCCCCATCACCCCAGCCACAAACTGTTCTGTCTGCTGCCGTCTGGCAGGCGATACCGCAGCATCAGGACTAAAACCACCAGACTCAGAGACAGTCTCATCCCACAGGCAATAAGACTGTTAAACAACTGAACTGTTGAAACAACATCCATAACATTCATCTTAGAAATTATTTATCTATTTATCTAATATATCATTCCAATAGCTTGCATATAGACTCTTATTTCACTATTTCACTTTTTTTAAAACTATTTTTCTTTTTGTATTTACTTTTTAATATTTACTTTGACTATATTTTTCTGTTTATCTGTGTTTTGTGTTGCACTGTTGGAGAAGCCTGTGACCTAAGATTTTCATCGACATAACTACTCTGTAGCTATGTTCGTATGACAAATAAAGAACCTTGAACCTTGAACAGCCCATTGCTTTACCTTAGTGGAATGTAGCGAAACATGAAATAGGCCCCATGGTTTTACCTTTCCTGTTTTATTTTTTACAAGGGATAATATCTAAACAGGGGGAAATTGGAGAGAAAATTGTAAAATACGCCATAATACTGGGAGAAAAAGGAAAAGTTGACCATCCAAAAATCAGAGCAGCTAACCAATCAGAGCAGACTGGGCTCTGGTTTCAGACAGAGGGTGAAAAGAGGTGCTGCAGCACAGGCAGTATGAGAAAAATAAAGAGCTTTTTGAACACTAAAGCATGGAGACATGTCACAGTAGAGACACTAAATACTGATATGAACCTGAAAATGAGCAGAATATGTATATGGTATATATTACTTGAATAAGGGACACAGGGTTTTGTTGCTGGCTACAAAAACCATGACTTGGACTGACGTTGCTCTTCGTTAAATAACGGCTAAGCCTCCTCTGATTTGGTGAGATATTTGCACAAACGATTAGCCTTATTGGCAGGTACTCTGTGCTGTTATTGTTCTTGTTGATTTTCTGTTGGCTGCCATGTGATTTAATGACTTATGCTGACTACCGACAGCTCCTGCTTTACCACAGAGGAATGTAGCAAACGCATCGTATTGGCCCTTTGGTTATACCTTTCACATTTTATTTATCAACTTTTCAAAAATCGATTTTCTATATATCAAAAGAGCAAAGTTATCTCTTTTCTCATTTAAAACAGTTTGATATCGTCTTTGACTGCAGATTTACAGCTTACTGTGTCTTTGATATCTCTTACTACATGAGCTTTAACAGTATACCAAGTACAGAATAACGCAGTCCTGTACAGGTTGTGAACCCCCCCTAGAGAAAACTTGTGATTTGAAGCCATATCAATTAAATAGACCTGCAGTGATTCAACAGTTCTTACATTTTGACGTAGGGGTCAGAGAACCCGTTCACATCCATGGCTGCCAGGTGGGCGCAGCGCCTCACGCCCACACAGAGACCCCCGCTGCGACGCCCCTCACCCCCCTCCCCTTCACCTCCGTCCACATCTGGCTCGTCCGTACTGAGCGGAGGCACGAACTGCAGAGAGAGAAGAAGACGGCCTCGCTCCTCCAGGCTGTGCAGCTGCTCGTTCTCCCACTGCGGACAGAGTAATCACATGGTGTGGTCACATGAGTAGAGATAGCGAAACACAGTAGGTGATATGAGGGGGGGATGCCATGCCACTTGTTAGTGAAAAATGCATCCTCCCTTGTTAACCTGGTCCCTCTCCATCCCGCGTGGGGAAGAAACTTTGTGGAGCAAAAGCAGCATGGCAGTTTTCTGAATTTGAGAGAAAGTCCTGGCGCTGTCTGTGGAGCTGAAGTAACAAACTGATATGTATTTGAATTTTCTATGAATTTACTGCCAGTTAGGTCTTCTCTGATTTCTATAAAAGATATAGCATGGGAGAATAACCTTTGTCTGCTTAGTAAAAAGCTGTAAAAATGTGTTTAGTTAAATAGGTAATCTTAGTGAAGTCATATTAGTTTAGTCGTTGATTTTAATCAGAGTACTTAAAGGTAGGGTAGGTAAGTTTGAGAAACCGGCTCGAGATACACTTTTTGTTATATTCCATGGAATGCTCTTAACATCCCGATAGCAATGAATATCTTAAGTGCTTTGACAAAAAATCCATAAAAAAATGTAATCTGTGGAAGCGTAGTACTGTAAAAAAGCACGACCAATCATTTTAGCCGGCCCGGCTAAAATAACTGGATGGCCTACCTGCCTGTCAGCCTTCCATCTGTGCACAAACTTATCTCGTGCCCTCATTGGTCATGTGCGCGTTCGTGTGTGTTGGAGGAGGGGCTCTATAAGGAAGTGGCAGATTTTCTCCGGTTGTGTATTTTCAAATTCTAGCGATCTCGAGCCGGTTTCTCAAACTTACCTACCCTACCTTTAAATGAGAAAAAATGTGTTGGATTATTTTGGGCAGCTCAGGTTAAGGGTATGCTCAATGTTCTGGTTTCGTATTTGTATTTTGTACCTCTACTGTTACATGTTTCCATGCTCTAATGTTCTACATTTCATTGGTTAGCTTGCCGGCTCTGTTGTGATTGGTCAACTGCTTAGAGATGCCCCACCCCTTAGCCTATCATGTACAATCTGTTGGAGCGCTAGCCACTGGGAAGTGCTATATAGTGATGTCACTGTTGCCCCTTTCACAACAACGCGTTTTCAGCGCCGGCTCGGAGCTAGAGCCTGAAAAGTACCGTTTTTTCCTGTTCACACCGCAGCGGCGCCGCCTCTTAGCTCCGGAATCCGGTTCGTTTCCAGCTCCAAAAAATTGTCGGTCTAGAAGCAAGACTCCGGAGCTAAGAGGCGGCGTCGCTTACGTCTCTCTTACGTTGAGGCGTGCAGGAAACTAAACCCACCTCCCCTGAACATGGGTCGACTGAAGAGTCTCGTCATGCCTGCCTACAAGCAGTAGCGCTGAGCAAAGTGACTAGAAGGCAACCACACACTTATAAAAAAAAACACACTTTATAAAGTCAGGCAACACTAACCAGGCTTCGTGTGATTCTGTTTATTTGTACCTTACTTTGACCATCCGTTCGCTGTTATTGATCATTGTGGAGAGCAGGCAGACGTTTTGTTTGTTATTATAGCAGCTATCGGATGGAATCAATACATGGGCTGCACAGGTTGTCATGTCCGACTATCACAAGTAGAATCATAATGAAAAATACGTCGGTAAAAAGTGCCTGTAGAAAACGGCTTAGCAAGTAGTCAGTTTAGCTTCGGTTGCTATGCTAAACATCACCCATGTTATACCAGAGAAACTTTCATAACAGCGTTGTGATGCCAAACAGCGTCAATTCAGACTGACACACATTCACTTAAGGGGAACTGGGGATATGTATCAGCTGCTTGTGTGACAGTCAGACAGTGAATACTTTAGAGCGGCCGCTGCCATGTGAGCTAACCCGGAGCTAACGGGAGAATAAACTCCCGTTGAAGAGCAGCCAGCACTGCAGCGGTCGGTAAATGCCACTGAAACACATTAATAAACAATGAACCACGGCACTCTGGAGAAAAGTATAATGTTGGAGAAGTCGTTATTTAATTTAATCTGGCTTCGTATGATTAAAAGCAACACGATCATCGACCCGACGCAGTCCCCCGTTGTTGTTGTGAGCACCGTTGGGGAGAAAATCAGCGATGTAAACGGTGACGTCATGACGCAGCAGCGGCAGCTCTGGGCGGTGTGAACAAAGCGGGAGCAGAAAAGGGAAACCGGAGCTGAACCAGAAAAGCTCTAGCTCGGAGCTAGAAAGGGAAAAGCGCTGGTGTGAAAGCCGCATGTCAGATTATTTTAGTTGGATACATTGAGTTGGAAAAGTGAAGTCGGATTAGTTTAATCAGATACACTGTTAACTTTATTCAAATAAATGTAGTCAGAATAGTTTCGTCAGATACATTTAATCAGTATGGCTTCCATTTCAGATGCTTTTCCTGATGTTTCTGGCTGTTTATTAAAGACTCATTGATGGCAGCAGGACCTGGATCCCTTTAGTGTTTTCTGCTGGTTTTGCTTCAGTCGTTTTAATTGAATATATTCCATTATTTAAAAATCAGCCATCAGAGTGAGGAGACACAGAAATAAGACCCAGGATTTACTCCTCCGAGGATCCACGCTGAGCAGATTTCTGTTTGTGTGTTAACTTTCTCTGGACTTTCAGCTGTTATAATCAAATAGATAGGAAATAGGAAGTAGATATGGGAATGACTTACACTTTTCAACGAGGGAATTCCTCAGGATTGTGTGTTTGTTCTTTCATATTTTGACTTCTAAAGTTTCAGAATGTCTTAACAGCCTGGGGACTACAGATGTAAATCAGCATTTTTGTTAATCTTTTGTTCATTTCGACATCTTGTATTGTATTATGATGTTCATTAACATGCACTGTCCCTATCAAATAAACCAACAAATAAACAAAATACTTCTTCAGAAAATTCAAACACTTTAAAATGTAAAATGAACTAGACATGTGTTTATGTATAGATACAACTGAGGACTTGCATTATTAGAAAGCTATGATCCTTTAAAAAAAAAAAAAATACATTTTGAGTATTCTCTCATTTAACTTAGTAATTTTTATCTCAAAGAATTAAAGTTTCCTCATACATATTTGGATCTTTTCTTTGTAGATTTATGAACATGATGAACGGGGAAAGTGGGAGAGAAACTCCCTCTGGAGGGAACAGGGATTTTAGCCTTTGAAGACCATTTACATGCACAAAAACCTACTAAACACACTGCGAGAACGCAATTTGCTTCCTTAAAAATACATTGTTTTCAGTATTGTCCTAGTAATCTCTGATCTGAATATTACCCTCCCCTATCTCTGTTTTTCATGTGCCTAAAATGGATTTGATACCGCACCATTCTGTGTGGGATAAGTACACAAGTCTATGTACAGTATAAAATGGGTCGTTTTTACACATCTAATGCAGAAATGTTACATATTGTACCTTTAGAAGGCACCAGTGATTAACTCATTTAAGTGTTGCTCATGACTGGATGATGAAGGAATTAAATGTGCGTTCAGCTTCAACTAAAAAACATTTCTTATCAGAAACGTGGCTAGATAAATCTTTTTTGGCCTCTGACATCTACTTAAATGGTTATAGTGTATATCGTACCGACCGTCCTAAAAAAGGTGGTGGCGTTGCCATTTATGTGAAAAATAAGTTTTGTGTAACCAAGATGGTTTCCAAATCTATTAGTAAACAACTAGAATTTTTAGCCTTAAATATTGAAGTAGTGCTGCTTGGTGATTTTAATTGGGACTGGTTAACTTCTGTGTCAGAGGATTTTAAAAACCTTTGTATCTCTCTGAATGTTACTCAGATTATAGACAGTCCTACTCGCCCTAAGTCCCCAATAAATCCTCCTTATTGATCTCATTTTAACTAATGTTCCCCATAAATACTTATCTGTGGGAGTATTTGCAAATGATCTGAGTGATCACTGTGTTGTAGCCACAATTAGGGACACAAAAGTCCAAAAGGTTAAACCTCGCATTATCAGTAAGAGAGACAAAAAACATTTTGTGGAGCAGGGTTTTGTACATGATCTGTTTGATTTTGATTGGGGTAAAATCGATCTGTGTGCTGATGTAGAAACTGCATGGTCTTATTTTTATCTTGGTTTTATGGAAATTATAGATAGACATGCACCCCTGCGTAAATTTAGAGTGAAGGGACGAGACAACCCTTGGTTTTCTGCTGACTTATCTAGTCTCCTACATGAGAGAAACAAGGCCTGGGCAAAGGCTAGGAAATCAGGCTCAGAGGTAGAATGGCTACGCTTTAGGCAGCTAAGAAATAGCTTCACATCACAAATAAAAAAGTGCTAAGTCTAAGTATTATCTGTCAGTTACCACAAAGAACCTGAATAATCCTGGAAAATTTTGGAAAGCCATAAAATCGATATCCACCGGTGATATCCGTAATGAGCTACCTCCGTGCATTACCACAGCATCTGGCACTATATCGGACAGGGCCACTATGTTCAATTGTTTTAATGAGCATTTTGTGTCCTGTGGCTCTCTGTTTGATTCTGTGACTAACTCTGCTACTGTGAACACCACAGTCGGTGACTCTGAAAAACGTGTTTTGGAAAACCCTTTTAGTTTTACTCCTTTTACTGTTGATGTTGTTCGTGAAGCTTTAACCAAGTTAGATCCTAAGAAACCGGCCGGCCCGGACAACGTAGAAACCTTTCTTTTTAAAGATAGCTGCAGATTTTATTGCTCCACCTCTCACTACTCTTTTTAACCTCTCCCTCAGCACAAACACAATTCCAAAATTGTGGAAGTCAGCGTATGTCCTGCCTCTACTAAAAGGTGGGGAGGCCACTTTATTAAATAATTATAGGCCCATCTCTAAATTATCAGTTCTGGCTAAGGTTCTTGAACGCCTAGTGAGTGAGCAGGTAAAGGTGTTTTTATGTACAAATGACATCCTGTCTAAACATCAGTCAGGCTTCAGAAAGCAACATAGCACCATCACTGCCACAATGAAAGTGGTGAATGATGTGGCGAGTATTTTAGATAATAAGCAGAGCTGTGCAGCTCTATTTATTGACCTTT